GCTGATTCTGAGGCCAGAGTGCTGTTTAGGACATCCGCCATTCTATGAGTCTGCTGAGTATCTTGCTGCCCATGTTGGATCACTCTCCCCTTTACTTATTCTATCGGTTAGTATTAGCAGGTACTAGACTTGTTTATGTGCTCCCTTTGACTCTTAGTCCTTTCATTATATATTTTTCCTTGAACTTTTTGAAGACCCCTCCATATGCACACCCCGGGGAGAAGGTAGAGAAGGGGGGGTGAGTGTCACCACCAGGTATAAGGAAATATGATGGCTCCTCCCACATTCTCACCATCATCTTAATAGAAAGGTAAATAATATATTATTTTCTACTAAAGTAAACATGAATAAACAATGGAACAGAAACAAAAATTTAAGGGGACTTTAAAATAGATCAATAGCTGTGAAAAGGTATATTGAATTTAAATTGTAGCAGCTCTTCCCTCTGACCCCACAGGCTACATATTCTTTAGGGAGTGATCTAGACAGAAAGTTTAGGAAGTATCTAACTTCAGGCCTTGTGCATTGGGACAAACGGATCTGTAACATTAAGTTTTTAATTTAAGTCACAGACTTGATTTTTTTGTTTTATTTTGTTTTACATTCATTAACAGTGCCTAAGGGCATAGATCAAATGAACATTGAGAAATTGCTTAGTTATTTCTCTTTTGCTCTCATATTCATTGTTGTCAATATCAAACATTTATAAAGTCTTCATATACACAGTTCTGATTGAGGCATGGGTGTTAAGATTTAGCTATTTATTTGAAAACCAGAGTTACAGAGAAAGAGAGGGAGAGATTGAGGTGTGCTATTTTTACGATAAGGTTAAGTAACATCATTTGTGAACTGTCTGTAAATAAATGGTTGGAGTAAAAAATTGTCCTTAATTTTCAATAAGACTATGGAACACTACAGATTCATAGTGGAGGTGAGGCAAGTGATGTTGACTTTGAAGGAGAATAATATTCAAAGCACATTACCATGAAGAACAGCATAGAGAGATGGTAGAGAAGGAACAGACATTGAACAAAAACAATGAGAAGAATATTGACCCATTCGATGTAGGAAGAAATAAGATAACTAACATATATTGCATACCTACTGCCCATTGTTTGATTTAATCCCCTGAACACCTTAGGGTTCCTCGGTGCAGGAAAATAAGACCCAAAAAGGTGCAGTGGAACCCAAATGTTTCAGAAGTCTGTAGGGGGGCGGCGCTGTGGCTCACTTGGTTAATCCTCCACCTGGGGTGCCTGCACCTCGGGTTCTAGTCCTGGTTGCTCCTCTTCCAGTCCAGTTGTCTGCTGTGGCCTGGGAGTGCAATGGAGGATGGCCCAAGTGCTTGAGCCCTGTACCCACATGGGAGACCAGGAAGAAGCACCTGGCTCCTGGCTTTGGATCAGCGCAGCTTCTGCCATAGCGGCCATTTGTGGGGTGAACCAACGGAAGGAAGACTTTCTCTCTGTCTCTCTCTCACTGTCTAACTCTGTCTGTCAAATAAATAAGAAAAAAAATAAAAAAGAAGTCTGTGGTAGTGGTGGAGGGTTTGCACACACTGTGTGTGTGTGTTGAGTGTCGTTGATTGCTGAAGTGCCGTGTGCAGTTGGGTTGCATGGTTCTTCAGAGCTCTGCTGGCTTCCTTCTCTGGCCCTGTGTAGCACTGGCTGTGTGGACCTTCATTTGGGGTCTGCTATTGTCTGCCCTTGTCCAGTCATCATTTCCACAGCAGCTCGGAAGCTCCATAAGCCAGGGACCATTCTTTCTATTCTGTGTCTTTTGTCTGGGATTTTAAACTCTTTTAGTAGATGACTAGTAAATATTCTTCATGGGATTGACTTGTTATGCCCAAGATTCTAGGGGAAAAACTTGTGTGTTCACAAAATCTCTTCTGAAATCTCAACTGAAGTCATAGCTTTCAGTCCACAAAAAAATTGTGAATTAACAATGTGCCCCAGAATGTTTCTCCTGCAGATATTTCTAGATCTTTAGTTTCATAACACAGTGGGGTGACTGTAGTTCCTAGTGATATATTCCATGTACAGAACTGGAGGAGAAAACCTGGTAGGCTCCAAGCACAAAGAAAAGATAAAGCAATGGAAAGCCGGGTTGCCTGGTCTGATTGGTTTATGCTGTGTTTATGTGCTAGTAAAAAATATTTAATAATTTTAAAAATAAAACATTTAAGAATAACAAGATAAAAACAAGGCCAGGAACATGGTCTTAATATTAGGCTTTCCAGCTGGCTTATGCTGACAAAGGCCAGTATCCACACCTACAGGAATTGTGAATTATTGTCTGGAGTCAGTGATAGGATAAGGAGACAAATGTTGAATTTTTAAGTTCCTTTTCTCATATCAGATGAGTGTATTAGAGCTTTGTCATATAAACATCGTGTCAAAATGCCACCTCCTTGGAGAGATCTTCGCTGGCCACCCAAGTTAACAACCCTGCTTGGAGACGCCGTGGCCTCACGTCTGCTTGCTAGGGTGACAGCGTTTAGCACAGTTTAATGCCTGACTGAATACTCAAAAGAGCCACATAAGCTCAGTACTTTCATCACCATCCAGAGTTTGCAGATAAGGAACTAGGAACCCAGAGGCAAACCCCGGGCCCTGGAGTCCACTACAGGCTGGTCAGCAGTAGAGGCAACCTGCAACCTCCAACCTCTCACCCCGCTCCTCCCTAACCTCTGGCCCAACCCCTAACACCCCTCCCCCTTGACCCTCTCTCCCAACCCTTCTACTAGCTTCCAACCTCTCCCGACCCCTGCCCAAACCCTCCCTAACTTCTAACCCCCTCTAACCACCAGTCGAACCACACCCCTATCCTCCACTAACTTCTCACTGACATCTAAACACTCCTTAAACGCCCCACTAACCGTTTCCCTCTCTTCTCTCCTAACCTCTCCCCCAGTCACTCTGCTAACCTCCAAGCACTCCCCCAACCTCTTCCTAAGCCCCTCCCCCAACTTCTGACCTCTGCCTAGCCACTCCTGTAACTCCTCGCCCTAACCTCTCCCCTAACCACAGCTCTAACTTTAACCTCTCCCCTAACCACAGCTCTAACTTCTCCCCTGGCCTCTCCCCAGTCCTCTGACACTCTGACCCCTCCCTTCCTCAGCTGTCAGCTGCTTCAATTTCCCTTCTTACAGGCGCAGAGGCCCACGGGAAAGAGATTTTTAGCAGAATTGAGCGAAGGGGCTACTTAAAAAGCTGTGGGCTCACTTGGTTAATCTTTCACCTTGCGGCCCCGGCATCCCATATGGACGCCGGGTTCTAGTCCTGGGTGCTCCTCTTCCAGTCCAGCTCTCTGCTGTGGCGCGGGAAGGCAGTAGAGGATGGTTCAAGTGCTTGGGCCCTCCACCCGCATGGGAGACCAGGAAGAAGCTCCTGGCTCCTGGCTTTGAATCGGCACAGCGCTGGCCATAGTGGCCATTTGGGGAGTGAACCAATGGAAGGAAGACCTTTCTCTCTGTCTCTCTCACTGTCTATAACTCTACCTGTCAAATAAATAAAAAAAAAAAAAAAGCAAGCTGTGGGCTACTTTAAGGAGGAGCCAGTAAGGAGCTGTGATAAATGCACAATAGGGGAAGCGTGACCGCCCTCAGGCCTGAAGGCTCAGAGAGAAAATGGGGTTACAGGGTCCAGGGAGAGGGAAAACGGCAGGCGCTGTGGTGGCAGAACGTTCTGGAAGCTCAGAAGGACTGGGCTGGCTGTGCCCGCTGCAGGAGGGGAAGGGGAGATGCCTGCTCTCCCTTTCCCCTGAGCAGCTCGTGCTGAGTCAACCAGAGAATCAAGCAAATAGCGAATCGAAAATGACCTGAATCTAGAAAGCCAGACTTTCCTCTGGACATTTTTAAACGTTTCTTTCTCAGTTCCTTTGGGTTTCCTCCCCATATCCCAAGCTTCTCCCAAGCTTCCCACACTGCAAGCACATTTTCGGAGTCACCAGACACAGCTGACAATGTCACCACGCTCCGTGTGTGACATTCAGGACAGGGCCGCTGAGGGCTCCCACAGGGAGAGCTCCATGTTTCTGTGTTCACAGATCGTGGTCTCTGGGTTCCGCGCCCCAGAGAGCAGATGAAATACAAATCACACTAAATGCCTCTCTTCCTTTGGGTAAAATATAAGCTCCGAAAAGACAGAAAGGCTTTTCTTCTCTCCCTGCCAAGCTCATCCATTAGATGCAAATCATTCTCAAGTAGGAAGAATAATTACTGGTTAACAAAAGGACGCAGAGGCCGCTAGGAGTTCAGCTGAAGCCGTGGCATGAATGCTTTTCTCCTGAACTGCTAGGGTTCTGATTGGTTTCCAGTAATCACTGCTGTTTGGTTTCGTTGGAAAATTGCTCAACACAGTGTGGTAGCTGTGTGACCAAAAGCACAGATGGAATTTTCTTTAAATATATTTTGCATAAGATTCAATTTTAGGTTATCTTAGTAACCACCAAGGTTGGTCATTTCGATAAACCACATCATGAAGTGGATTTTATTATAGGGATTCACAAACCCACTAGGATAAACCAGAGCTGCTGAGTCTATCATTGTAAAAGCTTTTTGCTGATAATTGATGGTTTGCTGGTTAAGATACTATGTAGTTTGATTTTAAGAAAGTGTGTAATTTGCTTTTATAAGCTGAAAGTGAGTGAAAAAGAAAAGAAAGTAGCTTATAGGCTGTCCAGTGAAAAGAGCTTGATTGGGAAAATCTTTTCCAATTCTGTTCCAAACATTGCAGAATAGAAGTTGGAACTGTCTAGCGCATTTACCTACCCTACACCCAAAAATCTTGGCAAGATGCATTTGGGGAAAACTGAGCATTTACCAATTTTATAACTCATTAAGTTACCAAAACTTCTCAGTGTTTAGCAGCTTGCTTACCTTGAGCTCAATATGGAGGACTTGAAGGTTTCTGCTGTTTATTGTTTTGTGGTTTTATCCTATCTGTTTCCTCTCCTGGATCTGTTTCTTAATACGGCTCTCCTGTCTTCCTCCCTAGGCCATGGGTTTGGCCCGGCAAAGATGTCCCGGGCGCAGACGTTTCCCAGCTACTCCACGGAGCCCAGTGAAGAGGCTCAGCAGCCTTTGTCACGGTCCAGCAGCTATGGATTCAGCTACAGCTCAAGCCTCATTCAATGACACCCAGAGAGCCAGTGCTGACCAGAGACAGTCTGTCCTGGACCCGCCTGTAGGGTCGTTGCACCCTCTGCCTCCCGGAAGACCTATTGCAGTACAAACTGACATGGGTCGGATCTAGCCCCAATCCCATTGGAAGGTTAAAAACTGGAGTTCTACTTCCTTGGTTCAGTGGCTAAGTCCTTTATTTATTGAATTTCTTTGGGGGAATCTATGTTTTACAACAGTAGAATCGAACAGTCATTTAAATAAACAAAATTCTTTGGGTCTGAGAGTAGCGGGAGCCTTGGCTTGGGGAAAAGCTGCCCACCCTGGGTCAAGCCAGAGTGGTGGGTGCCCACTCGTGCCTCATGGATCAGTCCTCCATGAGCACAGCCTCTGTCCTTAGACACAGTGGTACATGCTCTGTGGCTTTTAAAGTTTTGACAGGGACAAACCCAGTAAATACTACAAATGGCATCGTACTCTCCATATAAATAAGCCCAGTGGCAATTAAGGGGACGCACTATTTAGCAGGGCCCTGTAGCTCTACTCTGTGTGTGTGTGTGTGTGTGTCTGTCTGTCTGTGTAGACAAATATAGATATGGATACCACCATATCCATCTATATATAACAAGTATATATTAAACGTGTGTTGAGGGTGACAGGACATGCTCACTTAAGTTATTGAAAACTGTAATTTGGTACATTAAAATTAAGGTTGTTATGTTGAATAGCTATTTTTAAAATAGTGCTGTAAAAAAGGCTTCTTATTAGCAAATGTATTCATGTAGTTCAGTCTACTCCTAAGACAATTGTAAGCAAAACTCAGAAGGCGAATGTTGTGAATGCAGAGGAGCCAGTCTAGCTGCCCCACCTGTCATGTTGTTGGCTGTCCGTCCGGTCAGCATTCTCTTGTTGCTGATGTTCTTCCTCCAGCCATCCCTCTGAGCTACGGAAGGAAGATGCAGTGTGATCACTGATCAGCTTCCACTTAGCCTTCAGAAAAAGGAGACACTCCAAATGAGAAACCGTTAACAAGGAAGTAAACGTAAACTTAGAAAAACGGCGCAGTTATTCTGCAGTCAAGAGGAGAGTAGATGAGCACAGGACTGTAGATGTTTACATTTAAAATTTCATAGATGCCATTCTCAGAGAGCCATCAGGGGCCTGTAACTTCATACTGGGCTTTATTTTTTACTTTTACTGGACACAGGTTTTCTGGGATTATAAGAGAAATTATGAGTTTTTTTTCATCCCTACACTAAGGAGAAATCCATAACATTTCAAGGGAACTGAAGAACTGAGTGAAGTTTGGCTAATTTAGGTCAACATAAATGTCTGCCTTTAATTCTGAAATTTACTCAAGTGAATGTAAATATTATTTTGCCTGAGTTGCTGGATGCCGTGCACCCAACTGGTTCTCTCTTGAATCCTCTCTGGTGGTTTAAACAACAGTGAGCCTGGCCCATGAAAGCTTGATTCTTTTCCTTACTAGGAAAATTTTTTAAACTCTCAAAGTTAGTCTATTGAAAGGGTACCTTTTGTGCTGATCTTGGATAAGATTTTTTTTCATCCCCATCTATAGCTTGAGTCCAGACTGACAATTCATTTCCCTGAATGACTACTGGATCAAAGTGGTTCCAGGTCCATCCTTGGTAAATGTGCACTTAGAGCAAGTACCTAGCCTCTTGGAACACTGAGATAGGTATGAAAACCCCATCAAGACACTAATCTTAAGAGTTAACGTGGCTACAAAAAATAATTATCCTAAGCTTCCAGAGATAAAAAGAAAATTATCCAAACTCTCTGTGCTGTGAATTTCGCTGACATAGCAGAGTAACTGGTGACTGATTCCCTGCAACCTACAACCTTCCCTAGAATCCAAGCTTTCAGGGTTACACACCCCTGAATTTCTCTAGCACATGGCATTGGCCATTGAAATGCTGCTAGTCAAACACACCAGAGCAACTCCCAGCTGAGACCATGTGAGCACAGTTCCTATCGGGGCCCCCTCAGAGCAAGCCTCTCCGGCCCCTCAGCCGAGCTGTGGCTTCCACACCGTAAGTTTACACAGTGGACTTATGGTGATAGGCCCTCAAGGGCCCCACTTCACGTCTCTGCTTTATTAATGTGCGGAAAGCACAGACAGCGAGTCCAAGGGGGATTCTGCTAATTAGATGAGTCTGCTCTTGTGTCTATTTGTGGGAGACAAACAACTGCAGGAAGTTGCTTCAGGAACATCATGTGGTTCCTTCGTTACCAGGCAGCACAACGAAGGAGGCACCAAAGACCAGGCATAACCTTGGGCCAGTTGTTCATTCTGAAAATAATGTCATAACCCTTTCTCATTACAGTGAGAATAAAGCTATACAATATCTCATGGTACATTTTTGTAGCTTAATTATAGTATACTCCTCCAAGCATATTTACAATTGCAGCAAAATCAAAGCTGCTAAACAAACAGGAGAATTTGCATTAATCTAATATACTTGGCATGGGCAGTGTTTATTATAATAAGAATTGCAAACAGATAAATCTTCTACAAAAACCAAAGATGGAAAGTTACTGTACCCATCACCTGGGACTTGGTAAGATCAATTCCACTGGATCAACCAGAATGGTCAAGGACGTGTGCTCAACCCACCTGAATGTGTAGAAGATGCCACTACCCTTTGCAAGTCATGCCCCCTCCCCCAGAGTATGTACTCTGTCTATAATATTTGACACTTTTTCGTCGAGAAGGAGGGATTGTTATGAACCAAAGACATCTTTTGGCTCCTTCTAAAAGTGACTCATCTGGGGTTCTATCCAGATCTGTACAGATGAATGAAAAGATTGATGATGAAGAATCCAACATAAATAATAAAGGCTCTTCTGACAACAGAGAAAGCCTGGAGAACGTACACATCTCACAGAAAGATTACATGAAGGGATTAATTTTGTGTCCCTAATTGTTTCTGATAATTAATGTACACATAACCAACACATGACATTGTGCTAAAAATGCAAAAGTAAACATGACCTAATTGTTTACTATTCTGGTGGGAGGAGCAAAAAGCATATCTTTCACTTGTTCAACAAACAATAAGCACTGAGAACTAATTTATTTATACAGGTTGCAAATATTATGAATCAATAGATTCTGGCAAACTGCCACAATTTGAATTTAATGAAACAAAAGTATACATTTACTTGTATATTAGGGAAGATGCTGTTTGATAAAGCATGTGAAATAAAGTGAAATACTTATTAAAATTAAGCCTCACCTTTTTCACCAGATAATAACTAGAGTACTAGTTCTAGTATCTTGTATATTTCTTCTCTGTCTTCATTGGGCAATTATGTTTTAAAATCATCTCTCTCCTATAAAATGGTCACCCACTAGTTCTTTCTGTCCCATTTAGGAAGAGTAGCCTGCTAAATAACTTTGCACTCTTAGTAGTAGCTTCTACAGATCCAATTTATTGCATGTAGTATCTTTACAATAGCTATCATACACATCATAAAAATTAATGTAAGCCCCTCATTCTTTGGCCAATATCTCAGAAAACTGTTTACAAGAGCATGAAGACCCTACTCCACAGATTATTTGAACCATTTATGAAAATCAACCATTACTGCCACAGTAAAAACAGGCTAAGGCAATTATATTCTTATAGAAAAATTATAGTCCACTTTTGGCTATTACAACACAGCACAATAAATGGGCAATGTACATTCAGTAGGGCTGAGCACTGGGTCCTTGACACTTCATGTTTTGTAATGAATATTATACTTAAAGTGTTCAAGGTGAAAATTAAACATTTAACCCAGTTCTATTAACATGTTTATCAACACTTTGCAATGTAAAATTACTTAATGGTACTTTATAATCTCCCAACCACAGCCTTCTCAAAATGGGTACAGTTTTGTCACTGGGTATGCATTAATAGTTATAATATTAGACCACACACATTAATTTCTAGCCAACAAATTTGTGAAGTATGTATTTGTTGGCTATGAAATTTTGGAGTGCAGATTTCCTTGGAAAGGTGAAGAAGGAAGGTGGTGACCAGTCAGGTGGACTGCAATTTAGATAAAATGATGAAGAACCCAGTGAAATGTCCAGAGTAACCATGCTACTTGCTTGGGATTCTAACCCTGATTCTGCATCACAGACTTGGCCTTCTTTACTCTTGTCACCTAGTCCTAAGTATTTAATTTGAAGAAGATATCAGTTGTGTCATGGCTTGACATAACCCCAAAAAGACGTTACCAAGAAATATGCTTCTTTTAGTTCAATGAAAAAAAAATTTAACACAAAGAGTATGTACCAAAATCTCCATAGTAAAATATATCCTCAGTAATATGAGAATCATTTTTGTATGGCCAATCTTATTTGCGTTTCATAGTGAAACTATATTACCAGTGACCTACACTGGGGTCGAAATAATCGAGATCAACAACCTCACATACGCATTCTCTTTAGACATAATTTAAAGACTGACTACCTTGCTTTGGAGAACGACCACAAATCCTTCCTCATTTCTACAGTTATCCCGACAGAGGAGGCTCTAGTCTGTAGTCTGTCATGGGCATAACTTGAGATCTTGGGCACATTTCTAGACAGGTGGAATATAGTTCTGAATATAATATTAAATGTCATGCACGATAAAGGTCCTTCTTTATGTGCTTCTCATGGGAGGGGAAAGCTGAAATCTAGGGATGCTGTAATTTGTTTAAAGGCAAAAAAACAGCCAGGAGTAGTTTCACCTAGTCCAGGCTCCTGACCCAGGGATATTTCTTTGGCTCCATCTCATCTCCCAGTTAAATATAGCAGGAATTGAGAAACGCCACATGGTTTTGGGATAAATAAGCCCTTGTACATTTAAGTGCTTTAAAAGACTTTCAGATTATTCTTGCTCTTCCTAAATTCATCACCAACTCTGTCTATAGAGAGGCTTAATGGGGCTGTTCATCAGCATTGTTGTAGGTCATGAACAATTGGCATACACTCTATTACTCTTCTGTTGTCAGCCTGTTCTTTGTTAGAATTTCAAATCAGTATATTATGGAGTAATAGTCAGACAAAAACACTTAGATGTTTGTGTTTTTCAGTCCTGATAATTCATCATATTGGTGTCATTGTTTATGGCTTTGTCACAGTTTTGTTAGATAATTGCCACGGCTACTTTTTTTTACATGTGAATTTTGAAAGCTTCCATTTTCAATAGAAATTTTGGAATTTTTGCATTGAAATACCTTATACGTCAAGGTTTTCCTTCTGAACCTCATTAGACAATTATTTAAATTAACTGGGTTTAGATAAATAGGTTATAATTACTAACTTACAAGAAAACCACATTTTACTTGTAATTTTCAGATGCTTTTCCCTTATTTTGAGATTTTAACATCTTGTAAATATTTGAAGGAAAGGAAAATGCATTTGTAGTAGAAGTATACATTTTTGTTTTGTTTTGTTTTGTTTTAACTTTTATTTAATGAATATAAATTTCCAGAGTACGACTTATGGATTACAATGGCTTCCCCCCCATAACGTCCCTCCAACCCGCAACCCTCCCCTTTCCCACTCCCTCTCCCCTTCCATTCACATCAAGATTCATTTTCAATTATCTTAATATGCAGAAGATCAGCTTAGTATACATTAAGTAAGGATTTCAACAGTTTGCTCTGTTGAAGTATACATTTTAATAATTATGTTTAAATAGTAAGTTTTATTTTAATTTATCTTCTATGCTGCTTCCCTAAGTCCATGTCCCACATTCTAGTTGTCTGAAGAATGAGCAACTTTAAATTTTTAAATTATAATTTGGGGCCAATTTCAGTAGTTGATTCATTCACTTCCTCAGTATTCCTTTAGGGTGATTTTAGGCTTAGAGCACAAAATTGACCCTTTCTGTAGCCACAGAATCGCGCATCCAATGGAGCAAGTATGTATTCTGTAGTTGTGAAAACGTTGGGATTTAATTCCTACCTTAACTCACTCAGGAGACCTACAGTCTCAAAAGAGTCATTGATCATTCGTCATCTAAAATATAAAGACCCAAATTCAGGCAAAGAAGATTGAGATGATCTGCAATTTTTTTAAGTTCCTGCAGGATTACTGTAAAAGAAAGCACCTTAAGAGAGTTTTTATGGTAGTTCCACATTGTTGACTGTTCAACAGAGCAACTGAAAGGCAGTCAAACGGAAGAACAAAATTGTGATAGTATCTTGGTATAAAACATCAATCAGAAATTAACATAATATGGGTCATTATGAAATAATTTGACCAATCATATCCACATATCATATTGCATAGTTCAGGAAACAGTGTTTACTCCTGTCATAATAAACATACGCACATAGCAGTTGGCAGCGTGGAGGCAATGGAGAGCTTCATTTTGGCGAAGGTCTACAATGGAGTATAATCCTCTCCAGTGATAACTCTTTCGTTTCAGTTAAAGCAGAAAGTGCACAAATGATCCCAACAAATCAGTCTATTTCCTGACAGACGAGCCAATACCAATCCTTCCTGCAGGCAGCCGAGAACCTCAGTACTGCAATGGCTCCCCGCTCCCTTTCACCCAGCCTTCTCCACACACACACACACACACACACACACACACATTCATTTTTGACCCACTCTGTGTGTTACACTGACGTTACCTTTTTTTTACACAGAATTATCCCACCTTGTAAAGCTCTCTCATCCCTGTGACCCTCTAAACTATATTAATTATGTGCTATGTTTGCTTCTTGTAAATCTTTATTTAATTAATTTATATATACTTTGTGAAGTCTTATACTGTACATTATAAAGGGATGTAATTTGTAGTTGATCAAATACAATGTTTATGATTGTTTTGATGAAATTAATTTTGGACATTAGGCTCTTGTTAAGAAATTGAACACCTATTATAAATTTGCTTCTATTGAAAAATATATGATCTGGCATACTTTCCTTTTAGTTACAATTTATTCCAGATAAATAAAAACTTGGGGACATCTGTACTTAAATACTAGTTGAACTACTTTTTGGAATAAAATGCAAAGGAATAGCTGTCTCTGGAACTGAAATGTGAATTTCTGGCAGAACAAAATATTGCAACAATGAGGCAATAATAAAATTAGGAAATTAAATTATTTTAAAATCTGTCTGTGTGATTTTTTTTCCCTTGGTAGAAATACAAAACAGAAGAATTCTCTTCTTCTGGATTTATACTTTTTATATATTATTCCCTAATAAATAAATCTATCATATATATCTTCTCCATAAATGATTCTAAGAAATTTACAAGTGATATTCTACAAGGAATGCATTTTATACCTGTGTAATATTGAAATTTTTCCCATCACTTAAGGTAGACATTTTTTAAAAACACTACTTTACACCACAACTTGCTTTACACATGAGTTATTTAATATTATTAGTGCTGTAATATTATGATTTCCTTACATTTTTGTTATGTGATGTAATGTAACTATGTAATTAAACAGAATTATGACAATCATATTCTGCCAACCTCTAAAATGTTATTTATTCATTTACTTATTAGTTTGTTCTTTTCAAAATAAAGTAAAAGTAGGTCCTTTATTGAATGTAAGGTTACTGAGATTTTATGTATTTCCAGTGTTTTCCTAACCCTATCTTATAATGGAATTTAATTCTTTTATTTATTGATTTTAAAGATTTATTTTATTTATATGGAAGGCAGCGTTAGAGGGAGGGAGGGTGGGGGGAGAAAGAGAGGAAGAAGATCTCCTATCCTCTGGTTCACTCCCCAAATGAGCTGGACTGAAGCCAAAAACCAGGCGCTTCTTCCAGGTCTCCCACATTGGTGCAGGGGCCCAAACACTTAGGCCATCTTCCACTGCTTTCCCAGGCACATTACCAGGGAGCTGGACTGGAAGTAGAGTAGCAGGGACTCAAACCAATGACCATATGCGATGCCAGTGTCACAGGTGGAAACTTCAACCACTGTGCCACACCACCAGCCCCCAGAATTCAATTCTTATTAAGTTGACTGTGGTTTTCCAGTTTCATAGAATGTTATTGATAATGGCAATAGAGATTAACATTTTTATTTTCCAGTGAAAATATACTTGGAGGGTTTAAGCGACTTGTTCATTGTTAAACACTTGACAATAGCCTTTTCTCCATCATTCTGCTCACTTCCTAATAACCAAAGGACATTAGTGAAAATGAACTTTGGGTGGGCAAAGATTCAACATAAAAAGAGAAGTGCATATCCTAGGACTATCGTTCAATGTGGTACTCAATGGCCTCCTTCGTTACTTTCCATTCCACGAGACAGGGGCTTTCTTTTAGATCTTTCTTGGGTTTAGATCTTCTAGAAGTACTGTCATAGAATCCATTTCTTGGTTTTTATATAGTATTTTAATATATTATTTGGTTTACTAGATTAATTTGCTACAAGAATTTTTCTTTTTAGGTACATATGCCTTTAAGGAGAATGATAATATCAGAGAAGTCAAAATAAACTCCTGAATCAAGCAGTCAATCATGTTAAGACCCTGGCCTTCTGGGAGACGGACCAGCCAAAGTCACTAATTTGTAAAAGCAGTGAAAAATATATGAGATCTTGCAGTTCCATGCAATGCAGAAGTTTGAAAAATGCTCAGGAGTGGCCATGGTGATGAAAACACCCATTCTTTAAAAGTTGAATGAAATGCAGTTTATTCTAACTGAATGTTTTTGTTCCACTTCTAAAACAAATTCACGGCTTAAATTGGTGGATTTCCATTCCCTTTTTGTCACTAGGAAAATCACGAGGATTCTATTTGCCAAAGAAAGTGGCTTTAGGGAGAGTGCAAAGGTGTGTATAACCTCTGAAATATGAGTCACGAGACACAGTCCTAGAGCAATTACTTTGCTGTTTCTGTAATGTACAAAGAAAATCTGCTATTTTATTTTCAAGCTATTCAAGAAATATACTTATCTAATTTTGATAGCCACATGGGGAATTGTTAAATATTTTAGCATATTATTTTCAAGCTATTCAAGAAATATACTTATCTAATTTTGATAGCCACATGGGGAATTGTTAAATATTTTAGCAAGAACAGGATAGAATATCTAAACACTCGTGGAAAGATGAATTGTCCTAATATCTTGTTATTTGAAAGCATCAGGATGCTGATTTAGTTATGATCTCAAAGACCACTGAGTGCTTCCCACTTCCAAAACATGAGTAAAGGGCATGAAATGTTTACTGATCTTTGTTCTCTTCTCCTCTAATTCTTTTTGATACATATCCATGTCAGGAGGGAGTTCTGACATCCAATGGATACATGGCTTTCTGTGGGGATATGGAGATGGCAGAGAAATAAGGGTGTAAAGGAAGGCCAGAGAGATCATCCTCACTAGCTTCCCACATTATTTTCTCAAAGCTGTCTCTGAGTTTCTCTCCTCCACCTACTCTTCCCCTCCGTCTCTCTTTTTCCCTCCATCTCTCTCTCCCTGATTAGACATAAAATTATCAGACTCCAGAATTATCTCTTGTCATATGAATTATTTAAATTTTTCCCTGTATTTGAAAGGCAGAGAAGGAAAGAAAGGCAGAGAAATCTTTCATCATCTGGTTCACTTTCCAGATGCCACCGCCAAAGTCAGGAGCCCAGAAATTCATCCAAATCTCCCACATGGGTGTCAGGAACCCAAGTAAGTACTACACTTCTTCTTCTGCCTACCAGGGTGCACATTAGCAATAAACTGGATCAGAAGCAAAAGAGACAGGACTTGAGCCAGACACTCCAGTGCAGCTGCAGACAGCCCAAGAAGCAACAGCTGAACCAAATGCCTGCCCCTGAATTCTTTAAATTTGTAGTCTCTGTTTTTAATCAGGAAATTTGTTAGATACATTGTCTAACCTCTAGTCATTTGAATTCTATACATGTTTCAAATCTCCTTTAAAAAATCCTTCATTCCTCCCTTGACAAATTTGCATATAAGACAAATACAAAATTATCATCATTTGCTATATATGTATAAACTGCAGACATCTCTTCTAAAAATTTTACGTTCTTCAGACTACTTTTAAGTTTTGAGTATAAGGTAGCCAAAGGGAAGGGATAAATATCATTTCAAATTCAATTTTACAATCATGAATTAAATATAATAGCTAGGAATTAAAAAGAGAGTAAGATGGGGCCAGCACTGTGATGTAGTAGGTGAGCCTCCACACGCAGTACCAGCACCCCATATGGGTGCCTGTTCAAGTATGCGCTGCCCCACCTCCGTTCCAGCTCCCTGCTAATGGCCCGGGAAGGCAGTAGAAGATGCCCAAGTGCTTGGGCCCCTGAACCCCGGGGGAGACCTGGAGGGAACTCCTAGCTCCTGGCTTCAGCCTGGTCCAGCCCAAGCCATTACAGCCATTTGAGCAGTGAACCAGCAGATGGAAGACCTCTCTCTGTATCTGAAACTTTGCCTCTCAAATAAATAAATAAATAAATCTTTGAAAAAATAAAAGAAAGAGTAAGATTTGGTCCCTCCTTTAAGGATCTCTCCGTCTAGGGAAGAACATGCCCAAGTCATAAGCAGGTATGCTTAGTCTCCTCTTATTCTCTGAATAGCCCTTGAGTTCCATTTGGCTTCATACATGTCCTTGTTATAATACCTACTAAAAATCGTATTTTAGGTAGCCTGCTGCTTATATGGTTCATAGTTTTGTTATGTTTTTTAACAAATCTAGTTATATTTGAGAAAGCTAAATAGTTTGACATTACCACCCCACCCAAAGAAAGAAATATCAAAGCTACCACCCAGAAATGCCCATGTCAAACACTGTGGGTTATTACCTTGTTTGCAGCAGCATACAAAGATGCTACCAGGAATGTATTCTGAGTGTTCCACTCAGCTCGCCTCTCTAACCTGTCTTCACCCCCACGTCTGAAGCTCTTTCTCAGCAGTGAGAAGGGATGGCATTCCCAACTGAACTTGCATAGCTCATTGACAGATCAGGATGTAGCTGAAGTGGAATTGCTTCCAGTTCAGAATTTGCAAATAGGATGAGTCAGCATTCGATGGGAAACAATGTCCACTGTTATTTTTAATATTGTGCACAACTTAGACTGCTTTGGGCTGACATTTGATATCTCAGTTAAATTCAAGAACTCACTTAGTACAAAATGTTCACTTAATCATGAACAAAATGTAACTCGATCCTTCAGGAGACATTTGTACATTCTGACTCTTCAAGAGGTGTAGAATTCATGAGTAAATAGAAATATTGTACTTTCAAGAGATGTTATTGTGATGCTTGATGTTATAAACAATAATATTTTGATGCTATCTTTAACCATGCATTTAAGTGGGTTTATGAATGGGGTTTGGAGCATGATTTTTAATCTATGAGAATACTACGATAACCCAAATAGTTCCAATCACTGCTGTTAACAACTTAATGAGAGAAATTATATTTATCTTTTTCATTCCTTTCTACGTGTGATATTCTCCCTGTAGCTTAAATGACATTTGATTCTTACTGCTTGGGTGTTTATAATGCTTTTTCCTAACTTGGAACAGATAGTAAAATTCTTTTGGCAGTAGTGGGTTTCTTTTGTTTTGTTTGTTTTGTTTTTTGCTTGTTAGCATAACCAAATAGAAATGTTAACTTCAATACTATTTCCACTAACCTGTAAAGAAAAGGAAGGTACATCTTAAGAAGAAAGAATTAAATGTTACATTTACAGTCTCTGCAGTGTTTTGAACACATGACTATATAAAGTGAACAAACAATGGAGTGGGTCCATATTTTATGTTAAAATGAATCATATTCATAAAAAGATACTGTACTCACAAACATTGAAGCATTGAAGGTGCACAGGATATGTAGAAACCCCTGCCCTTTGTTTTGTTCATCTTTCTGTCATGTATTCTTTATATTAATACTTAATATTAATATTTAAGTATATACATAACACTTGACCATGCTATTATTTCTTTTTTTAACTTTTATTTAGTAAATATAAATTTCCGGGCCGGCGCCGTGGCTCAATAGGCTAATCCTCCACCCAGCGGCACCGGCACACCGGGTTCTAGTCCCGGTCGGGGCTCCGGATTCTGTCCCGGTTGCCCCTCTTCCAGGCCAGCTCTCTGCTGTGGCCAGGGAGTGCAGTGGAGG